TGATAATTCAGAGAACAGAGGATTATTTTCAAGTGTTGAGAGCTACTGTATTTGTTCTGCTGGATCTGGGACTTGCTTGGTGACAGTCCTCCCTTCTTTCCCTCCAATTTCTCCCATTTGTTATGGAAATGTCTACCTTGTTCCTGTTCCACCACTGCACTTTGGAAGCAGATAATTTATATTCTAGATTTCACAGGTTCACAGATGAAGAATTTTGCCCCAGGATAAAATATGCCTAATGTCTCACCTATATTTAGATGTTTCAGGAGATGACATTTTAGACTTGGAGTTGATTTAAGACTTTTAGGGTGATGTGATGAGTGAGATTGTGTTTTGCATGTAACAAGGACATGAAGTTTTGGAGGCAAAGGGTGGAATATTATGGATTGAAATATGGTGTTGTAAACCCTAACCCCTATGCCTGTGGAATGAGTTCTCTGTTATGTTAATGGGATAGGATCAGTGTAGGGTGCATCTTGAGTGACTCTCTTACAAGAGATAAAAGGAGCACATTATGCATGAAGAGAGGGGACAAGGATTGATGCCACATGAAGACATCCACGGGGCAAGGACACAGACACTTAAGACAAAGAACCTTCTCCTAGAGTTGACAGAGCAGCCTTCCCCTAGAGCGAGTGCCTGAGATGGGACTTGTAGCCTCCCAAATTGTGAGAGAATAGATTTGTTTGTCAAAGCCACCTACTTGTGGCAGCACTAGGTAACCAGGACAGCGTGTTTCAGTTCTGTTGGGTGCATATCCCATCTTCACCCTGTAAAGTGGGATCTTACTGTGGTTTTGATTTGCGTTTTCCTGATGGCTAATGATCTTCAGCATCTTTTCATTAGCTTGGTGGTCATTTGTATATTATCTCTGGGAAAAGCTGTTGAAATCCTTTGTCCATTTTTAAATTGGATTCTTTGTCTTTTATTGAGCTGTAAGACTTCTTCATATATTTTAGATACAACTCCCACATTAGAGACATGATTTGCAAATATTTTCTCCATTCTTTGGGCTGTCTTCTCACTTTCTATGTGGCATCCTTTGCAGCACAGTTTTTTTTTTTTTTTTGATAAGGTCCTAATTCTTCTGTTGCTTATGCTCATCTAAGATTTCACCTAATCTAAGGTCACAAAGATTTATTCCTTCTTCTTCTTCTTTTTTTTTTTTTTAAGAGTTTTATAGTTTTAACTTTATATTTAGGCCCATGATCCATTTTGAATTAATTTTTGTGTAATGCTTACTTAAAAAAAAAAAGTTAAAAATACACATTTCCCAATTCCACACTTTTTGGAAGTATCATTCATTGGTATTGACTACATTCTTCATGTTGTGCACGTCACTATCCTTTTTTGAACTGTAATGACCAGTCAGTGTCGTGTAGTACCCTTTATGCTGTCTTGAAAGAATTTTGTAGGTATTATTATATACCCATATAATCTAAATAATTATAAAACTGTAAGTGTAACATAAACAATAGATTCAAGGAAAAATACTCTTGGTAAAAGTACATATTTCCATGTTTAAATGCTTGGCCACAGGCACCCTAGAAAACCTAACAAAGCAGTTAGGCCCTGGAGACTATAGGTTTGGATTCAGAAAAGTAAGACAGTCAGAGTTTATGATCTTCAGTGGCCCTGAACAAGGCAAGGTGTGGGCAGATGTTGCTGTAAGTGTGTGTTGGGTTAAGCAGACGCAGACCAGGTGGATTAAATGGTATCCAAGGAAGAGAGAGAGTGCCTTGGTGGAAGCCAGCAGTAAGCACTTGGTCAAGCAGCCAGGAAGGCTCTGATGAGCTGGGTCTTATCCACAGTGGCGAGAGTCACTTGCTGCAGGTGTTCTGACTCAGCAGCAGTGAGACAGTTTATCACAGTAAACAGTTCCCTAGTCTCAGCATGTGCTGGGGCAGTGTTCAGCATTTAGAAAGCCTTGGAAACCACCTCCTCAAATGGTGATGGGAGCTAGAAAGATGGTTGGGGGGGCATCATCAGTACTGGGGGCTTCAAACAGGTGTGCTGGAGTGAGGGTCAGAGGAAGGACTAAGGGGAGGGGGACAGAACTGTAAGGTATGTGAATAGCATCGATACAGATGTTTTTACAACATAGTTTTCATACCATTGTGCTGCTAAAAATACATAAACATGTTGGTGGGCAACAAAAATTTATTCTTAAAATAATTTTATCTCTTTGTTGTTGAGAACAAACAGCACAGATGTACAGCAGTTGTCCTCCATGGACAATCCACTGACTACATAATAACGAGTTATTTCTTAAACAGCCCTGATTAATGAAACTCAGTGAGATTCTTGCATTAAACACCCCAACTCAATACTGTTTTGCTTAAGTCTGTCCTAACGTCTCTTGTATATGTTGTTATTTTTGCAGTAACCTCAGTACGACACTCAGACAAGCAGTTGAGGGTGTAAGTGAAAGGACCAGGGTCCATTGAGGAGAGAGAATGCAGTATGTGGAGTAAGTTCATGAATTCTAGGCAGTAGCTTGATTGCTTTAAGCTTCCTTCCCCTAAGTGAAGGTGCCTTTTTCCTAACTCCCTGTAGCATATGCACTACTAGCCTGTTCTAATCACTCCTACATGATACCTGTGTGGTGGCCCTGGCCAACACCCGTCAGTTACCAGAAGCCACACCCCATCTTTGTCACAGCCAAGCACCTTCATGGATTTCCAGATGCCTCCAGGAGAAGTCCTGTCCAGGTATAGAGCTGCTGGTCGGGTTGAGAGAGCTGTGCCCTTGTCTAACAGGGGGCTTGTCTGGGCTTAGCCTTACTAGACTCTTTGTCAAAGCATCAGTAGGGGTACACAGCTGGGGTTCTGTAGGACAATTGAAAACCAGATTAAGACAGTCAATAGCTTCCACAGGACACTAGACAATCTAACTTATTATCAGTCAGCCATAAATTCTTGGTTTCAAACTTGTCCTCATGGCTCGTGTGTCTTAGTTTTGTTTGTGAAAATACCTTCATTTCTAATTCTACCATGATACTTTTTTTCATAGTATGGGGTAGGTGTTGTCCCTGCTCACAGTGGATGGGGGAGTACATCCTCAGCAGGATGGCTGAGGGGATGCTGTGGAGTGACACCACAGCTGAAGACAGATGACTGCTGCAGGGGGTGAGGGTTAGCATCTTCTGGGCCCTAGCTTAGAGCATCCAGGAGAAATCTAGAGTTACACTGACTCAAGCAAATGACCAGACATGTTCAGAATGAAAACCAGCACTTCAGTGTCTGGACTCAGCACTGCACAGCACAGCCAGCTCGAAAAGCCCAGAAAGGAATGGAGAAGAACTTCAGAAACACCATGTGCACCCCACTTGATTTCTTATAGTTGCCATGTTGGCTTTAAAACCAAAAGCCCCAAACCTACTGCCATTGAGTTGATTCTGACTCATAGTGACCCTGTAGGACAGAGTAGAACTCTCCATCTGCCTCTTGTATTTTCACTGTTACTGTATCTTTTAATGTATGAAAATGTTAAGTGTTTCTATCAAATATATTGGTCCTTTCTGGTTTTGCTTGTTAAGTCTTGCTGATCAAAATCTGTGCCACTCATGAAGATGTACTACATAATTTAAACTTTGATTTTTTGTTCAGGTCTTTATCCAACTGTAATTTTTAAAAATAGGTTTTCTGAAGTGGGCCTAATTGTCTTGACACCAGTTTTTAAGATGTTCATGCTTTTGAATGACATGCTACCTTTTACATACATCAGTCCCCCATATTTTAGATTATTTCTTTTATTCCATTTATATCTTTATCCATTTCTGTCCAGGGCCACACTTTATGTTATTATCACTTTATATTATTTCTTGATGTCTAGTAAGGAAAGTGTCATCTCAGAAGTGTCTTGGCTTGTATTGCATGTTCATTCTGCCATGTAGATTCTAGAATCATTTGTCAGGTTCAACAGGAAATCACTTGGAGGCCTTGGAGTTGCCTAGACTTCATAGCTGAGTTAAATGAGAAGGGACATCTGTGTGTGGAAGGGTATTCATCCATGCATGTGCTCCAGTCCGCCAGTTATTTAGGTTTTTCTCCATGTTCTTCATTGATCTGATGCTGTCCTCTCTGTGCATCTTAGGTGTGTCCTTCAGACTTCTCTCTTTGAAATGGCTGTTTATCACACCATCTTCTCCAGGAGAATGCTAGAATTTTTTAGTCCAGTGGTTTATTAACATTCTGAATGCTGAATCCCTCAGGAGACCTGGGTATTCTGATTTGGGGGAGCAAGTCACAGGAATGACTCTTTTTGACAAGTAGCAGATGTGTTTCTGGTGGGGAAGTCCCCAGGCTCTTCTGTGAGAAAAAATGCCCTGACTCTGTAACATGACCTCTGAATCTGTCTGCTACTGCCCTGCAGTACAGGAGAAATTGTCACTTTGACCAGAAAGCGAGGGCAAGGACTATATGTTCAGCATTGATATAAGCATACTATAAAATGAAGGCTTTATAGATGTAGACTGATTGTTGGTATGGGCAGTGGGTGACAGGGACAAGGACATAATGACTGAGATGGTGTTCCAGTATGAGTGATAATGTCCGCCCTCTGCTCTCCCAAGACTTGGGCCCATAGTTTTGTTGATGTTTCTCCCTAGTACCATTCCTTCTGCCTGTTTCCTGGCTCCCCTCTCTGAGCCAGACCCTTCAGCTGGACTGTTCTCAGTCTCTAGCAGGGTCAACATGCTACATGGCTCATTGTAAGCCTCTCAGTTTACTGCTCCATTGTACAAATCTGAATTTTGGAAGAAAGAAAAGTAAATACACACACCACCCAGCCGGCCCCATTATCATTTTCCATCCTCTTCAAGGAATAAACCCAAAGCCACCAGTTGATCCTGACTCATAGTGACCCTACGATAGGGTTTTCAAAGCTGTAAATCATTACAGAAGCTTAGTGCCTCATCTTTCTCCATGTATTTAAGTCTGTCTTTCTTTCTTTTTTTTTTTTTTTTCCTCTTCTTTTCAGCCTGGGATACGACACTGGAAATGACAGATCAAAATATTACTGAGGAAAAACTATCCCATGACATGGCAATGGAAGGATTTACAAGGAATGGTCCCCATTTCTTTCCTCTTGGCAATGACTGGGACTGCAAGAATCAGGAGGGACATTTGAGGCAAATGTCTTTAATTCAAGATAAACCAGGGGTTCAGGAAGCCATCTGTGAGTATCCTGGATTCAGGGTGCATCTGAGTACGGACTTGGACCTTCCACCACCGCAGAGGGTTCCCATAGCAAACGGTTTCCATGTACATAACTCGGATGTTACATGTTTGGATTGTAACCCAGCCTATCCAGCTAAGAGAACTGGTGAAAGTGATCCCTGTGGGAAAGCATTTAGCCAACCCACTGACGTTACTCAATTTGGAAGAAATCAAACAAGAGAGAAACCCTGTAAGCACCCTGAAAGCATTCCATCTTTCAACCGTTTTACCACCTTTGGTGAACAAAAAATAATGAAAAGAGGCAAGAAACTCTATGAAGGTAAGGACTTTGGGGACATCTTTGCCCTGAGCTCATCTCTTAATGAAAACAGGAGGACTCACCCTGGAGAGAAACCGTATAAATGTACTGAGTGTGGCAAATGCTTCAAACGGAACTCCTCCCTTGTTTTGCATCACCGAACTCACACTGGAGAGAAACCTTATACTTGCAATGAGTGTGGAAAGTCCTTCTCCAAGAACTACAACCTGATGGTACATCAAAGGATCCATACAGGAGAGAAACCCTACAAATGCAATAAATGTGGGAAAGCCTTCAGTGATGGGTCAGCTCTGACACAGCATCAGAGAATTCACACTGGAGAGAAACCATATGAATGTCTAGAATGTGGGAAAACCTTCAACCGAAATTCATCCCTTATTTTACATCAAAGAACTCACACAGGGGAAAAACCTTACAGATGTAATGAGTGTGGGAAACCCTTCACTGACATATCCCACCTCACTGTGCATCTCCGAATCCATACAGGGGAGAAGCCCTATGAGTGTAGCAAGTGCGGGAAGGCCTTCCGAGATGGCTCATACCTCACCCAGCATGAACGGACTCACACTGGAGAGAAGCCTTTTGAATGTGCAGAGTGCGGGAAATCTTTCAGCCGCCACTCTCATCTCATCGTGCATCAGAAAATCCATTCTGGGGAGAAACCGTATGAATGTAAAGAGTGTGGGAAAACGTTCATTGAGAGTGCTTACCTCATCAGGCACCAGAGGATTCATACTGGTGAAAAGCCCTATGGTTGTAACCAGTGTCAGAAACTGTTTAGGAACATTGCTGGCCTCATCCGCCACCAGAGGACTCATACTGGTGAGAAGCCCTATGAATGTAATCAGTGTGGTAAAGCTTTCAGGGATAGTTCCTGCCTGACCAAGCACCAGAGGATTCATACTAAGGAGACCCCATACCAGTGTCTAGAATGTGGGAAGTCCTTCAAGCAGAACTCTCACCTGGCAGTACACCAAAGACTCCATAGCAGGGAGACTTCCAGCCAGTGTTCTCAGTGCGGGAAACTGTTCAGGAGGAGCTCATCCCTCATCCGACATCAAAGAACACATCCTGTAGAGAAACCCATAGAAATATAATGAACGTGGGCCATACTCATCTCCTGATTCACTGTCAGGAACCTGCATGAAGAAGGCACATCTTCAGATGTGTCTTCTCCCTAGCCAATAGAAAGGAAATCTTCAAGCTTTCCAGAGAACCAATAAATTGATGAGTGTAAGACATTCCCCAGCCACATTGTTAAACCTATAATTGGGGAAATCCTGGAGAGAACATAGGATGGTCATAAATGTGGAGGAGGGCTTCAGGGATGATTCAACCTGTACCAAACATGACAGGACACACACTAGAATAAAACCTCTAAACATGAGGAAGGTACTTCCCCCAAGACACCCACCCACTTCTGCCTCAGAATGCTGCAAGTGGAAAGAACTTGTAGATGTGTTGAGGAAGTCATTGGTGAAAAGAACCCTTCAGTAGGGAGTTGCCAGCTTACTGTACATAAGCAAATTCTTCTACTCACTGTGTAGTCAGTGAGAGCAGCTTTTGGCAAGACCTTCTACTGTCCTTTCTGATCAGCAAAGGCCTACTGAAGAGATAGTCCATACCATGCTCCACCCTACAGAAACCATTTGAATGTATTTCTGGACAGAAGACTGCCTACGTTACAGTGCTGCCAGAGTGCTGAGGAGGCATTTTAGAAGTTGCTTGTGAATGAGCAGTGAAGGAAGTCGTTCCTTTTAAGACTAAAACAGGTCCTTCAAATACGAGAAAGGCTGCTGCCAAGTGTAATTTGCTCTGGTTGTTGAAACAAACAAACAAACAAAAAACATCAAGTCATTACGTTTACATTATTCCCCCCCCATTGTTGCTCGTTCAGGACACTTCTAACTTGTTCCTGCAGCCACTCTGAACCATAATTTTAAATATTTGTTGCCATCTTGAAAATGCTTATGATATGGCAGACAACAAAAAAGGCACAAAATAGAAGACTCATTGTCATTCCAGGGATGTAAAGATACATGCATATATGGACATAGATTGGAAGAGGATGATGGAGACATCCACACAGTGGTTTTCTTAGGAGACAGGAATTATGTATAGTTCTCCCCTCTATTACATGTCACAAACTGTTCCTATAATAATTTTATAATAAATCTAAAAGGTAAAGGCAAAAATGTGAAATTTGCATTTCTTTGGATCTCCTTGACCATTCAGGGTAGATCAGGGCCACAGGACAGCCATCAGCATACATTGAGTAATCAAAACAGAATTAGGATGTCCAGTGACCCAGGGCATGAGAATCATTTCCTTCTTGGGGATACGAAATTATCAGGGTTCCACATTGTGTAGGAGAGGGTGAGTCTTAGGAAATGAGGAACAGGAGGCTACTTCCAGGTCTGAAGTGACTTGGGGACATTCCTACTGAAGGAATGCAGTGCCAGCCATGTGAGTGGTGGCCAGGTTGGTTGACAGCCCCAAAGCCCCTCTGGTGGCTCCCCTTGGAATTCCAGCTTGCTTCTTACCCCTCACTCTCAGGCTCCTATGGAGGGAGGCTTGAAAGGAAGACTTCTGAGTTAAGGCTGTAAGTTGCATGAGTTAGAAACCAGTCAGGTGTCTTGAGGTCTCCATAAGATGAGGTAGAACCTACCAGATGATAAGCCCAAAAGGAGAAATGAGGGAGGCCTTAGCTCTGCTTGCCTTCAGTGCACTCTGTCCTTGTAGTTCTTGAATGTGTGGGCAAACTTGTGACAGTTGTCTGGTTTTAGGTCCATGGCTATAGGCTTTTTTTTTTTTTTTTTCTTTTTCTTCTGTGAGGATGGTCCTTTTGTTAGAATCTCAGAGGGTAGGTAAGAAATCTAGACCCATAAAAATTTGTTGGAGTTGAGTTCTGAGACTCAGGCTTCTTGCGAGGAAACAACCTTGGGAATGTGTCATGCCTAACCTACAGCCTTTCAGTGCTTGGCATGTGGTCTTTTCCCAGGCAGTGTTAATAGACTGACAGCCTTTTAGCTTTGCAAGCTAAGGAGGAGGTTGCAGAGAAAAAAAAAGGAAGGAGGGGAAGAGAAAGAGAAAGAAAAGGAGAGGAGGACGAGTGGAAGGAATGAAGCAGCATCACCTACAAATATCCTCAGCCTTGAATTGGTTCTCTAATTCCTCTGCAAACTTAGTCTAGTCCCATCCTTTACACCCCCAGGCTCACACTCAACTATCTTGTCCCCTGAATCCTTCACCAAGTACTCCTCCAGAGTGTAGACAGGACTCCAGGTTGGATTTTAGTGAGGTTTTAGGAGTGTAAGAGGATACACCATTTCCTATCCCCAGTCACACTCTAATGCTTCTCTAGACAAACAATCCCTATGAGTAAAAGTACAGCTGGTCAGATCATGAAGACCAGTCACAGGGCTGGTCCTGATGTCGGCAGTGCCATGGTTCTGTGACTCTGATCTGGTGTCTCCCCGGTGCTGGGATTCTGAGTTCTGAGCCACCTGGGCCAGTGAAGGAGGGTCTCCAGGCCGCTGCACTTTTCTCCCAGGTGTGTCTCCTCCTGTGTCTGGTGTCTTGGGTGTGGCCTGCATGGCACAGTTCATCCTGAAAAGAAGATACGACTGACCTGGGTCAGGCCCATGGAAGTTGTGTCACAGGAAGGAGGACAGCCAGCCAGCATTGGGGTCCAGTCAAGGGTTAAGAACTGCAGTGATAGGAAGGAGGGAGTGGGAAGAGGAAAGGATTGAGAAGAACTGCCCTGGGACAGCATTTGGAGAAAATGAGCTGTCCCCACTTATTGGAAGGAGGTGATCTGTAAGTGAGAGGTGCATGTGGGTGGAGCATTGTTGGGCACCTTTACTGCACCATGTGATAGGGACATGGTGGCACTGTATCCTAGGGACTGTGGCTGGGGGATAGGGTGACTGCTGGGAGGGAGGGGACTTGGTCAACTTCTATTTCCAGAAGGTGTCCAAAATTTGTGTGTGTGTGTGCATAACCTACATAGTGAAAAGTCTCCTGGTTCTGTTGTCTGCTGCCACCATTCCTTGCTGTTTCTGGTGTTAACAACTCTCTGTCTTCTGGGTCTAGCAGGTTCCCAGCACAGGGACCTCAGGTCCAAGGATGTGCTTTGGTCCCATCTCTTCTTTTTGGTGTCAGTGACATGTCCATCTGCCTCTGGGAGGGCTCATTTTAAGCCTAGTAAATGGTAAAACTGACCAGTCCCCTTGTTAGGGTTTCATACACCTTATTGGCATGGTCCCACCCCCACAAGGGTGTCATGAACTTTATTGGCTTTATTAGCATGTTGTCCAATCCCTTTGGTGGGCCACAAGCACCTGCTTTGCATAGTCCTACAGTCATTTGGTGGGAGTCACAAAGATGATGGTGAGATGAACTATACTAAGTAAATCACTGCACTACAGCACTTTGAATCCCCCAGTGGCTTCCAGGAGAAAGACGTGGTGATCTGCTGCTATGAAAGTTGAATGCTGTCAGTTCTGACTCAGTGCCCCCCATGTGACAGAGTGGAACTGCCCTGTAGGGTTTTCTCAGCTGTCATCTTTGCGGGAGATCTCTCGAGGAGCCACTGAGTGGACTGAAACTGCTGACCTTTCGGTTAGCAAAAAAAAAAAAAAAAACTCACTGCCATGGAGTTGACTGCAACTCACAGCGACCCCTCCTTGGGGTTCCAAGGCAGTATCTCTATGGAAGTAGATTAACTCACCTTCCTTCCAAGCAGTGGCTGGTGGGTTTGGACACCAGCCTTCTGGTTAGCTGTCAGATGCCTTAGCCACTATGCCACCAGAGCTCCTTTCGGTTAGCAGCTGAGCTTAATTGTTGCACCATCAAGGCTCCTTTGATGTTATTGTTCTTGTTGTTATGTGTTGTCAAGTCAGACCCCAACTGATAGTGATCCTCCTTGGGTTTCCGAGGCAGTATCACTATGGAAGTAGATTGGCCAACCTTCTTTCCGAGGAGTGGCCAGTGGGTTTGAACCACCAGTGTTCTGGTTAGCAGTCAAGTGCCTTAGGCACTATGCTACTAGAGCTCCTTTGATGTTAGCCAGACCTAAGTGAAAGTCCTCAGTAGATTCCTCTTTCAAATAAATATAAGAAGTCTTGTAGCTACAGTGGTTTATAGTCACCTAAAGAAGATTCCCTTTCAGTTCAAGAAAAGGGTCTAATGGTGAATACCGCAGACAGTATGTCTTGTCTCATAGAGCTGTCCAGCTAGAGAGGTTGATGAGCTTTTATCAAACAGTTGTGAAAACATCAGTGTGCGCCACACAGGGAAAGGAGCAGAGTGGAGACCTGGGAGAGGAGACTGTGCCTGGCAGCAGGAGGGAGGCAGGGGTGGCAGGGACATAGCAGGCTTGGGCAGGCATCGCGTCGCTTGAAGCCCTGCGACCTCCAAATATGTCAGGTGAGCAGAGAAGAGTGCCCAGGCTGGAGATCTGAGGAGCAGAGACATACAAAAAATGAAAAGGAGGTAGTAGGTGAATACAACCAGCCAAGGAGGCAGGAGGGAACCCAGAGACAGGCGATGCCAAGGACTGAGAGGAGGAGATTTCGGGAGGAGAGACCCACCACCAGCACTATATCGAATAGCCAGGAAAGGCAGTAGGCCATGGGTGGAAGCCTTTCATGGGCAGTAGTAGGCAAAGCAGCTTCACTGGGAAGGAGGGAGGAGTGGGGAAGTGAGGCTGCTTTTGCCAAATTAAAAAAATTCACATTTACAAAAGCAACACTCAGACCCCAAGAAACGGGTTGAGAGATGACTAGCTAAGTACCAGGAGAAGAAAGTAGCAAATACATCAGTGTATGGATGTATCTAGGCTTAAAGTAACTAAAGGAATTCAGCTGAGTCATTGCTCATTTCTGGTAAGATGGATTAAACATTTTTCTTAAAGTTTACTAAAAAATTTTTTATTTTGTGATTTGGGTGAAAAATGTACAGAGCAAATTAATTTTCCATACCACAATTCATACACATTTTATTTCATGAGAAAATTTTTAAGTGTGCAATTCAGTGATAGGAAAGAAGGGCACAGGGAAAAGAATCACAGGGAAGACGTGGAAGAACTGTTAAA